ATGCTTGATTTGGAACGGCCCGTTCCCAAAGTGGAACGGCCCGTTCCAGAGCTACAAAAATCCAGGACTGTTAATTAATAAATAAATAGTTAACACACACATATATATATATATATATCAAATTAAAATAAAATATCAAAACAATTTAAAACATGATTTTCTTCAAATAATAATTATAACAAAATATCATAATTAATAATATTATACAAAATAATTTTCATAAATGATTATTATTAAAACCTTTAAAACTTCAATCAAACCCTTTTAATTAATCAAAATAATTATAAGAAAATAATCTTCATAAATACAAAAATAAATAATAATTATTCATTGTATTAGTAAAAAAATTCGGGGTGTTACACTAATCATTCAACATCTTAACAACCCTATCATTCCTCCAAATCCTTAGAATTCAAACTCTTCTATACCTACTACCTCTTTTATGCTAACTACCCCACCAACCCCACCTTAGCTTCCCAATTTAGTCCACCTACCACAAATTCTTCTATGGAATCACCATCTACTACTCTCATTCAATATCCCTCCTCAACTACACCATCACAAGAGTGATGGACCAAATACACAAGCCTAACCCAAAATACCATTTACTACCTTCATTGGAACCAACATTTGTTTCTCAAGCTCTTAAATCTAGTGCATGGTGTGATGCTATGAGCACTACTAGAAAAGTTAAAATTAGAGAGGGAACAAAATCCGTCACTAAATATGTTAAAATCTGCCACAAAATAAATTAGTGACGAAATTTGTGACAAAACTGATTTCGTCAACAAAATTGGCGTCACTAAATATTTAGTGACGGATAATTTCAGTCTGTCACAATCAGTGACAGAATTAAGGCATCACAAATTCCGTCACTAATTTATAATATTAAATGTTCATAAATTAATAAATTTTCGTCACAAATTGTGACGAATTTAGTGAGGGACTTTTTTCCGTCACAATTTGTGACAGATTTATTTCATCACAAATTTGTGACGGAATTTGTGACAGATTAACTCTGTCACAAATTTGTGACGAAATTTGTGCCTCTTATTAACGCTACACGTTGATAGGGATGTTGGCCTCTCAAGAGTGGTTTATTTTACGATATTTCACTTTTTTAATTGTGTTTTATCCTTGCTTGCACAATTTCTGGGAGATTTTTCAAAAGGTCACCCATCTTACAACTTTGGAGCAACTTCCGTATTAGGTTGTGAGAAGCAAATAGGCAAAGACCAATAACTTTGTCTATGGGAGAAATGCCCGAAGATTAACACTGGGGGGATGAGTTGGATTGGGAACGGATCGGAACAGAACAAAGCATTTTTTCTCCTCATTTAAAAGATTAATAAAGGGATGGTATAGAACTCTGTTATCTTGCTTGAGAGTTAAATCATAAAGTAAATGAATGAAATGTCAAATGTCTCTTCATCACCCATGGCTTATGGATAGTTTGTTTAAGCATTGTGCTCTGTGAAAGATTTTTTAAAGAGTCTCCTTGATAAACAACTAAGATTGAGTTTAATTTCTTTCTTTGCCTCCCTTTATATATTTTGTGTTTCTCACTTTGTTTATGATTCCTTTTTCCCTCTACTATTGTATTGAGTATTGACCTACAGCTTCATATTATATCCTATAAAAATGAATTGAGACATATTAAGTACAAAATTTCCCTCATGTTATATGGTTCTTCTTTTTAACTGTGACAGGTGAAGTTGCTTGATCCAAGCTGCAAAATAGAAGGGTTTCTGAACCGGACATTAGATCCTCCAGGATTTAAGTCTATACAAAATGGTGTTAGAGTTCTTAAAGAGATTGGGGCCTTGTCAGTTGATGAACAGATCACCAAGCTAGGGGAGAAGCTTGGCTCTCTTCCTGTTCATCCATCAACAAGCAAGATGATTCTTTTTGCCATATTGATGAATTGCCTTGATCCAGCTTTAACTCTTGCTTGTGCATCTGAGTGTACAGATCTATTTTTTCATCCGATTTTACCTGATGAAAAGAAGAGAGCTGCAGCTGCCAGATCTGAGCTTGCTTCTTTGTATGGGGGATGTGGTGACCAGTTGGCTATAATAGCAGCATTTGATTGCTGGCATGTTGCAAAGAAAATGGGTCTAGAATCACGGTTTTGTTCTCAGTATTTTGTTTCTTATAAGAGTTTGAAAAGGTTAGCGACGATGCGTGATAAATTAATAGAAGAACTATATCGGCATGGGCTTATTCATGGGCTTGTTTCAAGTTACCGCTCAAATGCCCATGATCTGGGTATACTTCAAGCTGTTTTGGTAGCAGGGATGTATCCAATGGTTGGGAAATTATTTTCTCCTCACAGAAGTGGAAATAAATTTTTTGTTCAAACTAAAAGTGGTGATACTGCTAGCCTGAATAGTCATTCCGTTAATTCATTGTTGTCATGTCAGAAAATTTTTGATTGCTCATTAGTTGCATATGATGAGATTACTAGCAGCGACAGGGGCATGTGCATAAGCAACTGTACTGTTGTTGGACTACTTCCATTATTTCTGCTTTCCAAAGACATTGCAGTTGCTCCAGCAAAGGATTGTACAGAGGGAGATGAGTTTATGTCTTCTCCTGATAATATAGTTAGAGTAACCATAGATGGGTGGCTTAATTTTGAGTCAACAGCAATTGATACTTCTCTGATGATCTACTTGAGGGAGCAATTATCCGCAGCTATTTCATACAAAGTAGCTCAATATTCTCTCTTATTTTTACTCAGATTCTTCTTATTTGATGATCTTGTAACCACATTATTCCTTTTTTTCAATGTTTGATATATTTGTTTGTTTTCAGGTGACACATTCAACAGATGATGTTCTTCCTCCTGTTCTAAGGACTGCTGTGGATGCCTTAGCTTGCATTCTGTCTTGTCATGGACTTTCTGGAATACCACAGACCTCAGATTTCGTTAATACACTGACTACTACTACAAATGCTACCAATCCAAGTAACCAAACTAATCAAAATGCTCCAATGGGTTTGGCATGCTCAACCCCCACAAAGCAAACAGATAAGACTCCAGAAGGGTTCTGTACAGCGCTTAAAAATCTCAATGATGTGCCTTCTTCTGGATCTAGCTTATCCACATCCTACGGTGCCAAAAATCCAAGTGATCCTACATGTCAGAACACTGCAACAAGTGCAGCTTGCTCAGTCCAGTCAGCAGATGAAAAAGATGATGTAACCATGACTGATTCGTCACCTTCTAAAGATCCAAATCCAGAAATGCGGGGTGATGCTTCAAAAGGTATGGGGTGAAGTTGTAAGACTTTTTTTATTCCATTGTTAGTTGAAGGCATGGTTTTGTGTTGTGGTCTGCAAGCACAATCATAAACACTATGTTGTTTGAGGTCCCCACAATTGCAATTGCGTCTGTATCAGCTGTATTTATCCTCATTTTCTTGCATTATTGCTCATTATGGGTGAAGGTATAATTTTAATTGTACATTTACGGGCAATTAACAGGGGCTTCCTATCAGAAGATAAATATTGCTGTTGGGTGGACCTTTCCTGAGGAAGGATGGATCAAGGCTAATGTAGATGGATCCTACAGGCTTAAGCAACGTCATTCTAGCTGTGCCGGAGCTTTTCGCGATTCCACAGGTTCATGGTGCTTTGGCTTCGCACTTAATCTTGGACCCTTGTTCTGCAGGTAACTTTTGCTTAAATGAAGTGAATTAGTATTCTCTCAGATTCTCTGGTGTGACTTTCACTATAGAAACACACGTTTATTAGGTGTGACAAACTGCAATTTTTCATTTTCCCCCCTTCATTTTGTGTCTCAGAGGAAAGGATTCAGAGAGGTTTTCTATTCAGTTTATCATCTTCTCTGAGCTGTGGGGTATCTTCACTGCCCTCAAGCTTGCTAAGGATAAGGGCATTTCGAAGCTGGTGATCGAGTCTGATTGTCATTCAGCAGTGGATGCTATTTTTGATGAAAAGGCCAAGGGTGGTTATTTTTCTCCCCTTATAGAGTCCATAATTGAGTTGATGGACGGAAATTGGATGGTTCGAATTTCCAAATGTTATCGCGAAGGAAACGTAGTTGCTGACTGGTTGACTCACTATGCGTATAGTCTTGATATCGGTCTTCATGTGCTCGATGTCCCTCCTAGCGGTTGTGACAAACTCGTAGCTGCGGACTCTGCTGGAGTTTATCAACTCCGTTCTGTACGTGCCACCCCGAATGTGAAAGCCTGATACTCACCAACCATTTATAGAATGGTCAATATTAGTTTCAAGCAAAATCAATCATGACAATTCATGATAGTATTAAACTAATTCTTCTCACACTCTAGGTTGTCCCTTGTATAATATTTTCATATTGACCGGAAAATTTTGCTAGGAAATTTGCTAACTTAGAAGATTAGCCTTTCTTGTGGCCAACACAGAAATGAGGTCTGTGGCTTTCTCACATGAAGAGAGGGAGACACAAAAACCAGGAGGACCCTATTGGTTCGTGGGGGCTACAAAAATTTTAAGGTTTAGGGTCCTAGGTGTCCTCTCTCTCTCTCTCCTAATATTATGTGAAAACTCAGTATTCATTGCCAGCAAATACCCTTTTTCTATATCTGCAAAATTTATTTCCCATCTTTTGCTTTGATTAATTAATTATGAGGGTCCTTATGATCAATCAATGGATGGCGAACCATCATAATCTTGCAAACAGGGTACTTTTGTTTTTTTATTTGCCAGGAATACTGAGATTTGTGATTCATTAAAAGGATGATATTTTTCCCATAGTCTTCTTCCATATGAGAATCGAATATTGATTATATGAAATAGAAAATGAAAAGGAAAGGAAAACTGAACAGAGGTGAAGCTCATCTACCTGTCTTCAGCTAGACAACCAAAGCGAAAGTAGGTATAACTGGCGCAGTCACCAATTTCGGATAAATAATATTTTATTGGTTTAAATGTTTTTCTCCGTAGATATAATGATTTTTTAATTTATTTTTATTACAAAATTATTTTTAAATAGTTCTTGTAATTAATTTGTTATGTATTTAATTCTAGGAATATATCTAGTTTTCATTGTAATTCTTATACTACCTTTGTCTATGTAAGACTCTTTTTATTCTAAGATCCTTTTCTATTTGTTAGATACATTATTTATATTCTTTAAAATAATCTTATTTAATTAACTCTTTTAAATAATAAATAATAAATGTTTGAAATCAATGGGATAAAAGCTCTCTTATTAGGATTGAATAAGATATATCTTTCTCAAGAGTTAATTTATGAGAAATGATTAAGTGGAAAGATAAAGTCTTAATTTAAGAGATTGGAAAAGGTTTAAATTATTGTAAAATTTAATGTTCTTAACTAAATTAATTTTTCTTAAAGGGTGTAACTTAGTTGAAAGGATATGGAGGTAGTAATATTTTATTCATTGAGTTGGTCTTTTGAAAAGAAAATTCACATACTAAAATGATAAAAGAAAAATTAATTATATGAAGTACTAAAACAAATAACGAGGATCAAAATAAAATGGAGAAAAAATTACATGGCTTATTATTTAATTTTAATTTAAGTTAATAAAAATTCATGAGTTATTCATCATTAGTAATAAAAATCATTACATAAACAAAACATAAAGTAGATAGTAGAAAAATGTTAGAAAAGAAACTAGAAAGGTGAAAGAGACATAGTAAGAAGAAAAAACAAAAAAGAGAGAGAGAAGAAAATTGATAAAGGGACAAAAGGAACTTAAAGGGGGGGGGGGGGGAATGGAAGAGGAAGATGTTAAAAAGAATAAAAAATATAAATTTTAATAGTATCTTCTAAATGTCTATTTGAACTCAATTCATTATTCCACGACAATAAATTAGAATCATCTTTAGAGTGAATTTTTTTTTTTTT